GTCGTCCTTGTCCCCGTACCCCTCGCCGTCCGTCTCGTCCCCCGTGCCCGCCTTGTCCCGTCCCTCCTCCTCTCTCTCTCTCTTCCCATCTCCTTCCCTTCCTCCCTCAACTCTTTGCCCCCTCCCCGACCACATCTCGTCCTCTCTCATTCCCTTCATCTCATCAAGTGCTTCACCTTGGAGCAGCGCGAAAAAAACTCCTCCTGAGCATCAAGAGTCTCGGACAGACGGAACGAGTTCACCTCCACCTTCCCTGCAACCCACCCGCCCTGCCGCGAGCTCAGCAGCATCCGAGCTGCCTGCCGGAGGACAGCAGCCTCTCCCTGCTGCTGCATGACTAGCAAGCAAGCGGAAGACCTCGCGTACCATCCCGTCACCCTCGTGCTCCTCCACGGCTCTGTACAGGGAGCATGACAGGTCAGGAGAAGATGGACAGGAGGAGACGAAAGAGGAGGACATCGAGAGATCAGGGGACGAAAGGGCAGGAAGGGAAGGGCTGGAAGGGAAGGGCTGGAAGGGAAGGGAAGGGAAGGGAAGGGAAGGGAAGGGAAGGAAAGGGAAGGGAAGGAAAGGGAAGGGAAGGGGAGCGAGGAGAAAGTTGTAGGACCTCTCGGCATCTTTGAGCGTCACGTCATTGCGCACAGCCCATCGCATACGATCGGCGAGCTCGTCGCGGCGGAAGGAAAGCTCCTTGAAGCGCTGTGGAGCCTGGTCACCTTTCTGTCCCAAGAGGAAGGACGAAGAGGACAAGGAGGAAGGCGAGGAAAAAACGACGAGGAGGACGAGGAGAGAAAGGAGGACGAGGAACAGGGCAAGGAGGGAGAGGAGGGAGGATGAGGCATGAAGAGCACGACGAGGAGGGGGGGGGACGAGGGAGGAAGGGGGAAAGGACGAGGTGGAAGAGGGAGGAGGACGAGGACGAGGAGGACGAGGACGAGGACGAGGACGAGGACGAGGACGAGGACGACGAGGAGGAGAAGGAACCTTCTGCACCCTAGCGGCCTCATCCCCGACCAACACAACCTGCACCATCATGACACGGACGCTCTCTCGCTGAACGTGTCGCGTCAGGGGACGGGGAGGCATGAGCAGGGGAGGACGACCTGAAACAGCGGAGCCTTCTGCAGAGATTTTGAGATGAGGAAGAACATGCGGGCAACGCGGGACAGGACGGGCAAGACTGCAGGGGGAGGGGGTCAACTCGACAGGACGGTTTGACAAGTCGGGGATCACAGAGGATACAGGAGAAGATGGAAATAAGGGATTTCTTCAGCAGGGACTGCTGCTTCCAGAAGGTAACCAGCTGGTTTTCCCTTGAACTAGCTTCAGTCCCTATGAACCCTCCTCCACGAGCTGCAAAGACCTCACCTGCTTAATTTGATCTCAGGCACGGCGATGTTTTCCAGCAACAGGCTTCCGCTGCTATCAACATCAGCGGGGAGTTTGGTCCTGTAGAGGTGGGCAGGGCTGACCCAGGAGGAGCTTTCGCCTCCACCACCAGCTCCTGCTTCGCAGGTTGCGATTTCTTTCACATGTTTCAGCCCCTTGCTCCAATCACCATCAAGCCTCTCATCACCCAGAAGAGAAAGGCGGGAGACGACATGTCCTTCGGGCTCAACATCGAGAAGGTCAAGACGGTGAGGACAAGAAGTCTTGCTACAACTGTGTCGCCAGTGAGATGCTGCGATAGGCAACAAGCGGATCTGTCCCGATCGCTGTGACAGTTTACCTGTTCGCATCCATTCCCACGATCGCACAACTGTTTCTTTGAGCACTGCCCCCGCCGATCGAGAGACAGACCGGCTTTCGTGCTGTCCCAGAATGATGAGCGCTCCTTGGACACTCAACAGTCGACGACAGACCGCTAGCAACGATGCCGATCGAGCTCGATGCGGAGGATGGAAGTTGTTCCTCCGACACTCTATGAAAAACATGTCAGGAACAACCCTCGGCACTGCTGTCACCTCTTACCTCCCGTCAGGCTGCTCCGCACCTCAAGGTGACCTCTGCCTGAACGTCGCTGGCAGCAGTCTGACAGCAGTCGACCTCCACACAGTTTGCTTGATGCTGAAAGTGAGAGGAAAACCTTCAGGCTCCCGATAGACAGTAAACAGCTGTTCTCACCGTGCATTCCACACATGAAGGCCCATCCTTGCGAGGTCAAGCACGCGAGCAAGACAACGAAACATTGTCGACCTACATCATGTGATCACAACACAAACCATCCTCATGCAAGACGGTGGTAGTTACGGCAGTTCGACGACATTTGTTCTCTGCCCTTGCTGGAGAAGGTCGGTCAGATCCTCAACAAAGCTTCCGATCACATTGAAAAAACATGTGCAGACAGAAAATACAGCTTGCTCATATGGTTTCGACAGTAACCACAAGTACAGAGAGACATCAGTTCGCATCCTCTTGTCGGCTTTCAGCGAGAGTTCTTGTTTGGTAGTTGGCAATGTAATCCTGCATCTCCTTGAAAAAATGCTTGTGTGAATCTTTGCATCTCTGCCCCTTCTCCCTCTAACTCACTACACGTATCGTCTTATCCTGCTGCCCCACAACTCCTGCCGCTGGCAACCAGGCACCCGCCTATCAACCTCTACCCCTCCGTTTCTTCCCGCCATATTCCCGGCTTCTGGCTCCGACATTACTCTCGTTCTGATCGCATCCTGGTGATCCTGTCCTCCTGCTCCTGCTCCTGCTCCTGCTCCTGCTCCTGCTACTCTGATCCTCTTCTGCAGTCGTCGCTCTTCTCCCTTCTCCTCCTCCTCGCCATGCAGGAACTCGCGACTTGTGACCTACACCCTCACTGCCATGGCAATAACCATCTGCTACCCTTACCCTCTGATTCAAATACCCACCCCCTTCATTGAATATTCACCCCTACAATACCATGTCATCACCCCCCTTTATCCTATATTTATACAGCAAATTCTCAAACCACCCGTAACAAATTGACCCCCACCACCTTCAGTAGAAAGGATCCCTTTTAACGCTGCGTAACCGTCATCGGGAGCCTCACGGCAGTGCGGCAAGTTGAGTCCCCCCGGGCCGGCCGGGCCCCTAACCGGGTTACCCGGCGATCGGACGGTATAGCGTCCGGCCCGGGCCCTCGGACCGTCCGTGTCAATCGTACACTGAGTACAGCCGCTTCGGAAGCGGGGGCAGCCCGCCTGGGGGCCCCGCCGTTCAGCGGTGCCAGCCTAGTTTCAATTCGGCACTGGCATGGTGACCCTTCCGACCTATTCAGTGTGTGAACCAACCGTTGAACGTTGCAAGCGGCCGCTCGCCGGTGACTAGTCCGGCGGGCCTTGGCGGCCCGGGTCCCCGGCCCGCTGGCAGCTGACGGCACCGCCGGGCCCGGTCCAGCGGCTACTACCGCGGGACAGCACTTCGTGCTATAAATTTCTCTCGAGTGGAGATTTGAGGGGCGGGGGCAGTAACTTCACGTGGACTATGGTGACGGCAGCGGTGGAGGCGGCGGTAAGGCGGCGATGCGCATGGGAGGGAGGAGGGAGGAAGGAGGAAGGAGGAGGGAGGAGGTAGATGAGACAGGGAGGAAGAAGAAGAGCGGAGGAAGGCGATGGCTCAGAGAGTCGCGAGGCTGACTGGCTGCAAGGTGAGGGCATCCCCCAATGCCATTGGGATGTCATGGCTGCCAGAGAGCCGCGGGAGGATGCAGCACATGACGTACAGCCAGATCTGGGAGAGGTAGGCGCCCATGGTAACCCGCTGCATGCTCCTCCTGACAAGACGCAGGGCAAGCTTGATCGCAGAGCTTGTCAGTCAGGGGAGGGAGAAGCGCTCTTCATGCGATTCTACTTGTCCCAAAGTTGTAGGCGTCTTCGTCGACGAAGGGCCCTACCTCCCCCTGGTAGGCGCGAGAGGGGAGGAAGGGGAGGAAAGGGAGGAAAGGGAGGAAAGGGAGGGGAGGGGAGGTAAGGGAGGGGAGGGGAGGGAGGAGACGTTAACTCTGCTGTCCGTCTCCAGTGCTTTCTCGGAGTTCTCATAGCGGGCTTCACGATTTGTCCCTTCGATCCCCTGGAGACTGAGTCCCGGCTTTCGAAGATGCTGGCAGTAAGATAACTGTATCTGCTGCTCCTGCTCACTCCAAGGCTGGCCAGCACACGAGGCCGCTGGTGGTGATCTTGAAGGACGGGAGCACGGCGAGGAGGGTCCAGCAAGCAGCGGCAGCTGCTGGCATCCGCCCTCCAGCTGTATTGCTAGTTTCCCAGCTCCTTCCCCTCGATGTCGAGCCGTCACCGGTTGTGACCTTCTCATCTCAGCTCAATCGACTCCCTTCCTCCTGCACCCTCCTCCTCCTGCTTTCCTCTCTCCCTATCCTGTCGATCTTCGCTCCTCTCTCCTCCACTCCTCCCTCCTCTCTTTCCTCCTCCTTCCCTTCTGCTCACTGTCATTGAACGCTGCCAACATCAGGTGCAGAGGGAGGAGGTCAAGTCGAAGGAGGTGGAGGAGGGAGAGCGGATATCGCACATCTACTTCACGAGCGGCTCGACAGGCTTTCCTAAGGGATGCGTCGTCGGCGAGACGGCGCTGCTGCGCTACTGCAGGGCGAGGAACGAGGTCTTCGAGTTCTCCTCCTCTTCCTCCTGCCTTCTCGCCTCACCGCACACCTTCGACCCTTGCCTGGGCGATATCTTCTCCACGTGGATGGCAGGAGGCGTTCTGTGTGTGGCGTCCAAGAGAACGATCCTGTCCTCGTTGGGAAAGTGCCTCCAGGAATTTCGAGCTTCCCACTTGCTCACAACACCCACCCTCTTCCTCTCCCTCCACGGGAGTCTCGGCCCTGCGGACCTCCAGGACCTGAGGGTGGTGGCGCTAGGAGGAGAGAGCATGAGGCAGAGCCTTGTGGAGGAGTGGGGGGAGGAGGTGCTGCTGCTGAACGTGTACGGGGTGACGGAGTGTGCGGTGTACCAGAGCTGCAGCAGGATGAGGAGAGGAGGGGACACTAAGAGCATTGGGAGGGCAATAGGAGACAACATGCTGCTGCTGGTGGCAGGGGACGGATCGGACCCGTCGCATCTTGTGGAGGAGGGGAGCGGGGAGGAGGGAGAGATCTGGATCGCTGGGCCGCAGGTGGGGCTGGGGTACCTCCTCCTCCCGGAGCTGACGCAGGAGCGCTTCGTTCCGCATCCTACGTTGGGGCCTTGCTTCCGGACGGGGGACATCGCCTGCGCTACGGCAGGAGGATGGAGCCTTCGGGGCAGGAGGGACTGCCAGGTGAAGATCAACGGGAAGAGAGTCGAGGTTGGGGAGACGGAAGACGTGGTTGCGTCGTTCTCGTCGCCGCTGCTCTCCTCCTGTGTTGTGGTCTCCGTCCAGCAAAGAGGGAGGGCAGTCCTAGCTGCAGTCTGCAAGGATGCTGCGGAGGGAGAGCAGCAGGAGGAGAAGCAGGAGGAGGAGATTCTCGACTCGAGGGCTGTGCATGCGGTGCAGGAGAGGAAGTCATGCAGGGAGCAGCTGCTGAAAGAGCTGATCAGGTGAA